ATAGCACAAAGTAAGGATTTGTAAAGGGAAGGGAGGTAATGCAATTGATCAAGAATCCTGAAAAGGGCTAAAGAAAGAAAATGGTTCAAAACTCCGGTAATAAGTCATCTAATAATAGGTACTGAAAAAGATAACAGTCGTTAGGCAAAACACTTATGCGATCATGACCATCGTATAGACACCCAGACTTTTGTTTTTATGGAATTCAAAATGTTGTGTTTTATCTTAAATTTTTTTAACCACCGTCCTCTAAAATTACGATGATGATAACATCAAAAATATGCCCTGGATCTATAGATCTATGGTACAGATTTGGTCCATGAACGTGGCGGAAAACATGTGCCAAACGATAGAAAACAATTCTACCATAAACATGTGTCAGAAGATTGCAAGAGTTCTACATTAAATATTAATAACCTGGGGAACAAATACAGTTATGAAAGAGAAGACTGTAAACGGATCCAGTTTAGACTAATAAAGACGTATATGCCAACAACATGTGATTGATAATCTCTAAATAATTTCCACCTTGTAGGTCTACATTAATTGTAGCAACTAGAAAGAATATCCGGACGAATAATCAATTATTAGTAACCCTTTAATATTCTGGAAGGCTCTTCAGTAACTCCACGGTAGGCAAATACATCGTACATCCGATATTAACTACCATAGTTTGTACACATTGTGAGACAACTTATGATAGAAATAGGATAAATGGCTGTGCAAAAGTACTCTTTGCATGCATCCCCAAAAAAAAGAAGATGAAAATGGAGAAACATATCGTTTTTTTTCATTGAATTGTGAAAAATGCCTTTTATAGTTTTACATTGTAGGCTGTGATGCTAAGGCTACAAATTGGAAATACTACACACAACGAATAGTAATACGAAGAAAAATATACAGGAATAATAATTGTGTAAGGAATAATAAACTCTAAAGCCCTTTACATATGACCTAGTTCATAAAGGACAGCGATATATCGTTACTGGCTGGTACTAGACCAGTTTTTACTAGTTCTAGTTCTGACGCCTAGCTGGAATATGTTTCATTTTCTAGGCATGTTAAACATACTCCCTCCGAATAAAGACAAATTTAAACGCCATGAGCAGTCCTTGATTGCACCAATTGCTATCAAGATGTCACTAGATACCACCTGTTTACAGCATAAACCCGTTGCCATATCAAGCTTTCTGAATCGGGATTCGATGTCCGAACAAATTTTTTTGGCAATGTTTAACTACTCTCAAGAACGTGATCGCCTTAACGGCCTAAAATTAACTTATATAATTATCATTTTGAATAATGATTGCTTCTCGTGATGGAACTACATGGAAATTTAAATTTTCATTGCCAGAGATAATACCATTAGCTGCTTCCGGACATCTTATTTATTACCGATTTTGGATTAAGTGACCCAATCAGATACGTCTGTCGATGGAAGATAATCAACCCAACGTTATTGCAAAAATATATTTCAAGTATTGCGTTTCAGCATTTTTGCCAATTACATTTTACTTGATTAAATAGGACTGTATTAGTTTAATTTACTTGCTATATTCAAACATGATCCTTCTTTGATATACATATTTTACCAAACAAAGCAAATTAGCTATATATTAAACTGGTATTGATTGTGATTATCTGTATGCTCAATTTTGTTTTGCATTACAAATTATAAAGTACTTGTTATTTGCACGATATGTGATATATAGATATTCATGTGAAAATCATCGATTTATAGTTTCAGTGAGTTCAATATTTAATCTATGTTCTACGTATTCCTATTTAACAAATTGACAATTTGTCTTTTAGTCATCGGTTCGTCCTTTTTAGGAGCAGGTAAATGTCTTAATTCAATGAACTATCTCACTGTTGGAAATGAATTCTCACGGATCAATGTTTGATTACCTTAGAGAACATGACAATAAGTGTGAAATGTGTAATGAAGATTCTCTTAATGACATTAATGATAATAATTCAATGGCGGAAGTTATAGAGCAAATTCAAAATCTAAAGTGCTCTAAAGCCGCTGGTGTAGATGCTATTCCTCCAGAGTTTTTTAAGTGTCCTATTGACAAAAGGGAGGCAAATTTTACTGTTTTTTGTTGATTTCTCAAAAGCTTTCGACCGAATCCACAGAGAAAAGCTTATTTACCAACTTATCAATAATAATGTACATGGTAGGTTGATTGTCATCTTGTCAAGAAGTATTTATAGATCTGTACAAGCAAGGGTTAGATGTGATTCCGAACTATCTGACACCTTCTCATGTTCGGCCGGTTTACGTCAAGGGTGTGTTTTAAGCCCGTGGCTTTTTGCAATTTATATTAATGAGCTCGCCTTAGATATGAAAATGTCTGATGGAACCGGAATCTTTATAAACCAAAATATGGATGAAGTGTTTATGTTATTATTTGCGGATGATCTTTGTTTAGTAGATACCATTATAGAATTACAAAGACGAATTATGGTATTAGAATCTTACTGTGATAACTATGATATGTCTGTAAATTTAGAAAAGTCAAAAATCGTGGTTTTTAAAAATGGTGGCCACTTATCAAATAGTGAAAAATGGTACTACAAAGGCCAAATTGTAGAAACAGTGTCTTACTATAAGTATCTTGGCATAGCCTTTTCATGTAGGTTAAATTGGTCAGTGTGCTGTAAAACACTCTCCTTTCAAAGTTCAAAAGGCCTAAACTTGATTAAACATTGTATATCAAAGTTAGGTAACAGAGATGTTAAGATTGCATTGTTTGATACAATGATTATCCCAATATTGACGTATGGTGCAGAAATATGGGGTGTGTGTCCTAGTGAAAGCATAGAGTCAGTCCAGAATAAATTTTGTAAATGGCTTCTGTGCTTGGGCAATAAATCCACAAATATATTAGCTAGGCAGGAGTGTGGTAGGCATGAATTACATGTCATATATATGGCCAAGCCAATAATCTATTTCTTAAAAATTCAAGAAATGATGGAAGAGAGACTTCCAAAACAATGCTATGATATGTTATATATTTATTTTAGATTCTGCCGGACGTATAACCTGGTGCACCAGGGTTCGCAAACTGTTATATGAGATAGGATTTGGCTTTGTATGGGAAGCTCAGAGTGTAGGAGCATTAAAAATTGTTCTTAAGCAAAGACTAAAAGATTTCGACTTACAGCAGGTCAGTTCAAAGCTTCAAGCTTCAAGGAAATACAGCTTCTATAGCCTTATACGAGACACTAGTCCGAATGTAGCAGTGTACCTACACTCTGTTCCCCAATACCTGAGATTCTATTTATCTTTATTAAGATGTTCATCCCATGCTCTAGAGGTGGAGTTGGGAAGAAGGAATGGGATAGAATATAGTGAAAGAATTTGTAGAATTTGTAACTTAGGAAAAGTTGAAGATGAATACCATTTTATAATGGAATGCCCTATGTTATCTGACATCAGAAATAATATATTGCCACGTAAACTTATCAAATATCTATCACTCGAAAACAGGTTTGCCACTGTTTCCCTCCAGTATTATTATCTAATGTAGATGGGTGTTGTGTTGCCAGATTATTTATTTATTATGTTACTACTAATGTATAGCTTTCCAATCCCTGTATTTACATGTAATGTAATTGCTTATATGTACAATGGGCTGAAGGCCTTATAGTACGAATAAACTATTTATTTATTTATTTATTTTATTCTCACGGATCAAAGCAAGACATGATGAAACAGAGATGTCTTTCTCAAGTTCATCCCTCTACCGCATCTATCTACCAAAATCATGAACATCATGCGTTCTAGAAGTGGAGTTGCACACAAGAGAGCAGATACCAGATCCAAAATATCTTACAAAAAGTTCATCTCGTCATATGTATTGTCTACTTATCAAGAGATCAACAGGTATATCACTTTAGATAAAAAAAATCAATGTTGTGAATCTCAGTTGGTCGTATAAAGAGATTAACGCTCAGTAAGATAAATATTTTCGTGACAACGTTCTTATTTCATAACAAAAAAAAAACACGATTACATTATAAATCTACGGAAGCATATTAGGGCCATTCATTTTTTTTTTTTTTTTTGAATTTTCAAGTTAGTATGTTGAATTTTCAAGTTAGTATGTTGAATTTTCAAGTTAGTAACTCGAATTTTCAAGTTAATTACTTGAATTTTCAAGTTAATTACTTGAATTTTCAAGTTAGTATCTTGAATTTTCAAGTTAGTATCTTGAATTTTCAGGTTAGTATCTTGAATTTAGTAACTTGAAAATTCAACATACTAACTTGAAAATTCAAGTTACTAACTTGAAAATTCAACATACTAACTTGAAACTTCAAGCTACTAACTTGAAAAGTCGTTGAATTTTCAAGTTACTAACTTAAAAATTCAAGTTACTAACTTGAAAATTCAAGATAATAACTTGAAAATTCAACACACTAACTTGAAAATTCAAGTTACTAAATTCAACATACTAACTTGAAAATTCAACATACTAACTTGAAAATTCAACATACTAGCATGAAAATTCAACGTACTAACTTGAACATACTAACTTGAAAATTCAACATACTATAGCTTGAAAATTCAACATACTAGCTTGAAAATTCAAGATACTAACTTGAAAATTCAAGTTACTAACTTGAAAATTCAAGTTACTAACTTGAAAATTCAAGTTACTAACTTGAAAATTCAACATACTAACTTGAAAATTCAAAAAAAAAAAAAATGAATGGCCCTAATACGCTTCCGTATTACGGTAAATCAATAACTAGACTATTTTCAATATTCAATTTTTTTTGGAGGGTAGAAGGAAGTTCAACACATAAGAAGTGCAGTATAAAAATAAAACAAAATTTAGCAATGTTTGTTTAACATAGGGCAAATATAATGTTTCTATTTTCAACTACCAACATCCTTATTGGTATGGTATAAACCACCAGAAGAAGGCTTGCTTAAATATAACTGATTTAAGGCAAACATTTCATTATTGATAGATCAATTACTCGATATGGAAGGAGTCTTACTGTTTTTTATAGTGACAGGTTTATCTGGAGTTCTGTCGGTGTGCAACAGATATACAGGACCTAGCGGAGTAACGGAATGTGTAAGGTTTTCCGGATACAACAACCAATATCAATGGGCTACCTGTCTTACCAATACATATATACAAGCTAAATCAAGTAAGAGACACGTATGTCGAGATTCCACCACAACCTATTGCTACTACCAGTGTATGTTGGAATCTTTTGGAGAGGAAAGGGGATCTGTTAACAGGGCTTGTTCGTGTACAGCAGGAGAGGCATACAGAGGACAGAATCTTAAATTACCATCTGAATGTTACAGTCCCTCTGGTAGAAGTTGTGATTGGTATTTAGAATGTTTACACAAGAAATATCCATGTTCTGAGACTGGTGATGATTATGCCTTGACCTATGCGACCAAATTCTGTAAACTTTATGAAAAACACCATTCTGCATTTTCCAAGGCCGTACAAAAATGGGTGGACAGTGTCCGAAAATGTTTACAAGTGTCATTGGTACCATATATTCGTCCCTATTCTGATTTGTCCTGTGCCGAATTGATGAAAGTAGTCTTTGATTCTCATGTTCCCTGTTATGTTAAACCTGATGAACAAGACGAGAATGTTACCATTTGCAACTTGGGAGTTGACGATTTCATGAAAATATTTTTAACCCTTAGATCGAGCTTGATAGTGCCTCTTGAATCTAGCGTTAAGTCTTTGTCTGGTATTTTCAGTACACGGACGACATGCGCTAGTTTGAATGTCCTGGATTTCTCCAATAATGCCACTATGCGGTATGTGAAATTGAAGGTCGCATATGAGAACAATTCTGAAAGGAAACAAACTAATAATGTGAGTGATTTGAAAAGAGCAAATGATATCGGCAACCACATCGCTAACCAACTTGGTTGGGATAAACAAGGAGTAACTTGGTTTACGTTTGCTGCAAATAGTTCGAATTCAGAATTAGAATTTAACATTTTGGTAGCAGACCGTTCCCGGTATGATTTGAACACTGAAAATTCTCAAAGTGCTGATTTAAATGGGGTTTTGGATAATTTACAGGATCAACTCGGAAAAGGTCTGATTACCTCTTCGAAACCCCAGTTGACATTCCATGCCCTGTCATTGGCTACATGCTTAGATGTCGATTGTAAAAATGTAACGACCCGTTATATTCTTTTCTATATCACACAACCAAATTCTAAAGAAGCGACGTTCTGCATACGTCAAATGATTGGACAACTGATATTTTGTTTTCTGATTGTTGGAAACTTCATTGATTTTTAATTTTGATGTTTTAATTAATCACATGAAATGTACCATATTTAATTATTATGCACATGCATATTTTTTTAAATCGCGCCTTGCGATTCTGCTTATCCAATTTTTTTTATATTCTTATATCTCTATTATATTTCTTCAAATAATAATGATTACAAATTGTTAAATTTCTACTTTTTTATCAATAAAGTTTTTTCAAAATTGTTATTAAAAGTATTTTAGACAAGAAACCATACAGGACCCATAGTTTATGGAGACATATTAAGCTGACCTCCTGAATCATAGAGGCTTTTTGTTTATTTTAATTTTGTGTGGTCGAGTTAAAGAAAAAAATTGTCTTTCTGAAGTGTTATTTTGCATTTATTCTTTTGAGAAATAAGGGTCTCTTCCCCATGAAAATTTTTTTAAAAATGTAAGTTTATCGAATTTTTCTCTTTTGGGGGTGGGGGATGGTTTCGTGTACTCTATACTCCATTTCCAATGATATCCCACTGATGTCAAAATTAGATATTTGTGGTATTATCTGTTGTCAATTTCGGAAGGTTGTGACGATATATTTCTATTGTCTGAACAAAGTAAAAAGTTTTGTGAACGACTTGTTTATAGCCGAAACAAAATGACAACCCCACAAGTTTTGTAAGTTTATATTTGATATTTTTATTCATGGATGTTATATTTATCAATTTTTCGAGCAAAGAATTATAATTCAAATACATTGCCAAAATTCACTGAATTATTTTAATTAATGTTCTATACACCGAAACGGGCGTGTATTTACAACCAATCAAGAGTCAATAGTCATTGTACCCTCGGTCAATTACAAAGATTGTACGCAACCGGTCCCGCGTTCGACTCAACCTTCGCCAATATTCGTTAGTTTTTGTACTTTGACATTGAAAAGAAACACATTTCCCATCAAGATATAAAAAATTTCAAATTTTGGTTGAAAATTGTGCTCTGTGGAACAAAATTTAAAGACACTATATTGTGAGCCCACACTTATATTTTTATCAACGCAAAGACATTCCAAGATTTACAATACTATTTTGAGGCTGCTATTCCAGTTTTCATAAAAAAAATGATGAAAACAATTCACAAAACTTTTTACTTTGTTCGGGCAATAGAAATATATCATCACAACGTTCCGAAATTGACAACAGATAATACCACAATTAATATGTAATTTTGATATCCTTGTTACAACATTGTAAATACAGACCTTGAGTTTGTTTTCTAATGTATTGTGCTCGGTCTGGAGTACAGAACGCCCCTCCCTTCCCCCCTTCCAAAAGAAAAACTGGATAAACGTAATTGTTTGTCAGGGACCCCAATTCTTAGAAAAAAATAAATGCAAAATATCCCTTCAGAAAAATAAATTTTCTTAACCTATTAATTAAATAAGAGTTATCGTTATCGTTAATAAATTCTACAGAAGGGCTACTAACTCAATCACAGACACTTAAATAAAACACAAAATGACTCCAGATATATTTTCATACTGTAAATGAAATTTGGATTATTTAGTTCAGTTTATTCAAGGAGGGACTAGTAGATCAGACACACGCCATGTCAAATCGTCCCCAATAGACGATTGAAGTTACCCGTTTGAATGTGTTCAAACACACAGATCTATTATATTTGGCTTATTGATATGAGCGTAGATATAATTTTCCAAATAAAAATAGAAGCGTGTATGTTTATATAGAATGTGATGTAACATTTTGGTTTGTAGTCAAAATATATCATGGAAGGCAATTGACAAAATTCCACGCGCATGAATATGATTTATAAATAAAGGCCTACTAACACAGTCATACTTAAGGAAGCATAGAGGGGACATATAATACAGAATAAAAAAAATGTTCGTCTCGTGGCCACGACTTAGTAACTCGTGGCCACGACTTAGCATCTTGTGGCCGCGACATAGTATCTCGTGGCCACGACTTAGCACCTCGTGGCCACGACTTACTATCTCTTTTTATATGTCTGACACTCAAAATGATACTGTGTCTATGAGCCAGAATGATGGCGATATCATTATATGACATTCCAGTATCAAAATACATCCATTCCTTTCGTTGTAATCTATGAGGACCCCCTTTTCCTTGTAAGTAAGATTTATATGACATATTTATACAAAATAGGAGGCAGCAAGTCGAGATAGCTAAGTCCCGGCCACGAAATGCTAAGCCGTGGCCACGAAATGCTAAGCCATGGCCACGAGATGCTAAGTCGTGGCCACAAAATAGCTAAGTCGTGACCACGAGATGCTAAGTCGTGGCCACAAAATAGCTAAGTCGTGGCCACGAGATGCTAAGTCGTGGCCACGAGATACTAAATCGTGAGTTATATTTAATTTTTCTCGTGCCCCCTCCATGCTTCAGTACATACTACATATATCATATTTTGGAATTTATTTCACAAACAATCCTCTTTTTGGTAAGCCTACTATTGTGAAATTTGTTTTTATCTCTATTCTTTGTATAGATATCAAAGTCAAGGTTGGCAAGCTTAAAGGTTGGTTGGTTTCACTGTCAGTGGTTTCATTCGATGTTGACAAACCTGCAGTGTCAAAATATTAATTGCTAATAGGCGTTTCGAGTTTGCTTAATACGAGTTAATTAGGGACTGGTAATTTTCCGATCTTTAGAACATCTCTTCTTCCTATTGATAGATTGATATAAGTATAATCAATCCATAATAGAATATATATATATAAATTAATAAAAATGAGGGAACCCATCCTGAATATGATCAGTTACCCAGAAATTTATTTGATAAGGGGATATTTTTATCAAGGGTTATTCAGTAAGGGGAAAATACACGTTACTATTATTGTCCTAAAGATTTCTTAAAGGTGCAGTCTCATTTTGTAGGTTACAAAGGATAGTATTGCGCAACATATAGCTCAAATGATGGAAAACTACTGTATGACTTTAAGCAAAATAAACCTCAAATTGGAGAGAAATATGTCTCCATTTTATTCTGTAGGTTTCAATTAATTAATGGTACACGAACAGTCTTTATTTTTGACGATTAGAATCTTGAGTAAAATTTCACGTGTGCCAGTGCCGACTGAAGATCGATTGGAGATTTTTTGTCTCCTCGTGTGTCCACACCATAAAAATGAAGAGCCGTTAGGAGGTTGAACACTAGTCCAAACTGCTAACTGAACCGATTCGTAAACCCCTCTTATAACAAATTCAGGCTGATAAGTTAATACAAAGAAATAAAGCATAAAAGCATATTTTAAAATCTTTTAACGTAATTTTTTTAATATTGAAGGTTTTTCATATTGCCCCTTTAAAATTTCAAAAAGATATATGGTTAAAGGGGGCTGGGTTATACCTGGGTAAAACCACTAGAATAAAAGCTTGCTTACATAATAACGTTTCATTATTGATAGACCAAATACTCGATATGGAAGGAGTCTTACTGTTTCTTATAGTGACAAGTTTATCTGGAGTTCTGTCGGTGTGCAACAGATATACTGGACCTAGCGGAGTAACGGAATGTATAAGGATTTTCAGATACAACAACCAATATCAATGGGCTACCTGTCTTACCGATACATATATACAAGCTAAATCAAGTAAGAGACACAGATGTGAAGATTCCACTACAACCTATTGCTATTACCAGTGTATGTTGGAATCTTTTGGAGAGGAAAGGGGATCTGTTAACAGCGATTGCTCTTGTAAACAGGGAGATGAATACAGAGAACAGAATCTTACATTACCATCTGAATGTTACAGTCCCTCTGGTAGAAGTTGTGATTGGTATTTAGAATGTTTACACAAGAAATATCCATGTTCTGAGACTGGTGATGATTATGCTTTGACCTATGCGACCAAATTCTGTAAATTTTATGAAAAATATTATTCTGAATTTTCCATGGACGGGCAAAAATGGGTGGACAGTGTCCGAAAATGTTTACAAGTGTCATTGGTACCATATATTCGTCCCTATTCTCATTTGTCCTGTACTGAAGTGAAGAAAGTGGCATTCGGTTCGCATGTTCCCTGTTATGTAGAGCCTGATGAACAAGACAAGACTGTCACCATTTGCAACCTGGGAATTGATGATTTCATGAAAGTATTTATTACTATTAAGTCGAGCTTGATAATGTCTGTTGAATCCAGCATTGAGTCTGTGTCCGGTATTTTTAGTACGATGACGAAGTGTGCTAATTTTAAAGTCGTTGGGTTGTTCTTAAATAATGGTAACATGCGGAATGTGAACTTGAAAGTCTATTATGAGAATAATTCTGGAAGAAAACGTCGTTCAACTGATGATGTGAGTGATTTGAAAAGAGCAAATGATATCGGCAACCACATCGCTAACCAACTTGGTTGGGATAAACAAGGAGTAACTTGGTTTACGTTTGCTGCAAATAGTTCGAATTCAGAATTAGAATTTAACATTTTGTTAGCAGACCGTTCCCGGTATGATTTGAACACTGAAAATTCTCAAAGTGCCGATTTAAATGGGGCTGTGGATAATTTACAGGATCAACTCGGAAAAGGTCTGATTACCTCTTCTCAACCAAGATTGACATTTCGTGCCCTGTCATTATCAACGTGTTCCGATGTCGATTGTAGAAAGGTAACGACTCGTACTACTGCACCTGCAAATTCTAAAGAGGCGACGTTCTGCATACGTCAAATGATTGGACAACTGATATTTTGTTTTCTGATTGTTGGAAACATCATTGATTTTTAATTTTATTGTTTTTAATTAATCACATGAAATATAAAATATCGAATTTTAATAATTATGTTAAATATATCATATATATTACATTGCTAATTTCAACCCGAACAACTTGTATTCTGTAAAATATTTGGTATTTAACTTATATAACTGTTTTCCAGGTGATAATAAATATAAGGTTTGAATTTTTTTACTTTTTATTAAAGAAGCATTTACAAATATTATTGAAAATTATTTAAGGAAGATAATACACCCGTAGTTAAAAAACGGGAGTATCCTTATAGAAATATGCCCCCCCCCCCCCCTCTCTCTCTCTCTCTCTCTCTCTCTCTCTCTCTCTCTCTCTCTCCAATCTGAAAGAGCAATATACCGGCGCAGGGTGTGTGGTCATGTATGTTTTGATTCACATGCCGACAATTCCTTTTAGGATTTTCGTCCTTCTGAAGACTATAGCGATTCTGTGACACTATTTAAATACAATAGTAATTTAAATATCAAATACAATATTACCAGGGTGGTAAAATACACTTTAAATACAATATGGCTAACGAAAATATAATCGAAGAGCATTTGTTTATATATAATTTAACTATCTATAATAATAATCTATTTTTGATTATCTGTATCTACACATTTCTTCTATAGTACGGATTGTTTGAAGTTATGTTCCGCACAGTGGTGTTCGACAGTTGCATTTTATTAAAGATCATTTAGATATGTACCAAAATGGTATATTGTCCTCCGCAATCGTCGCAATATACCCTGAATTAACAGTTTATCCGGTTGTAAAGTCGCTATAAATTAATTAGTTATAGTATGTGCTTCAGAAAGCAATGCAATTATCACATGATGCAGAATGTGGCCAGCCAATCTGCTCTTGAAGAAATTTGTTGCAGATAATCCAAACTATCATATCTTTATAGAGCAATACAGAGAATAAAATAATATAAAAAAGATCATCAGGTGGATTGTTAAAAATTGGTAAAAAAATGCATTATCAAAATTTCTATAGATATCTACTGCGTATTTATTGAAGCTGGCTAGAAAAGGGTATTTACAAGAAATCTCTCAAGTTTCGTCTGGGCGTTATTCAGTGTGTAACAGTTAATAAGAAAGGGGTCTGTTTTATGGAGAATGTTCGCATTGATAGGACTAAATATAGGTCGATCGCTTCGATGGAGTAATATAACAGTTCTAAACAACTTCTAAAAGGGTCTATTTTTAAAAATTAACGACCAGATTATATGTGTGATAAGATAAGATTTCAAGTGTAGTAATATGTCACTGATTTGTAAAAGAAACACGTTAATCGTGTGATATACTTGCTAAATTTATCGTACCAGTTATACCTTATTCACATGATTGAAATTAAATTTAGTTCGTCTTCAACCACATGGATTTTGTCCATGTCCATTTTACTGTCTGACAACAATTTTTCAAAATGTTGTCAATCATATTTTGTTTTTATATATGAAATTTATTATCCATTCCGTAGTGATAAGCCAAGTTGTACCGAGGAGAATTTTCAGTTAAAAACCACTTGGAATTTCAGTAGGGGGCGAGGGGGGTGTTTATTTCTAAGATTAACATCAAAAACCTTAAAGTTCTATGGCCTCATTTACATTGTAAGACAAATGACACACAATTAAAAGTTTTTTTTTGGATTTATGTGAAATGTTTGAAATCACATTGGTCGGTAATACCCAACAACATAGTCTACTTACTTTTTACGTTTCATGTCCAGAAAAATAATTCGAACCTTAGAAATTTAACATGGATATTTAACAGAGTACTACGCCATTGCAGTTTTACTATTTCATTGTTTATCCTACGTTTGATATGCAATGAAAAGAGTTTTTCCTACAATAAAAGTGCTAAATCCATTCCGTTATTTATTTAGCTAATTAGGAATACAAGACATTTTGAATGTGAGGAATATTCTATAATTGGTGGTCTCTTGTTAGTAGTCTTATTCACAATCCATGGTGGTCGATTTGACTTGGATAATATAAAAGGGAAATAATCTTTAAATTACAGAAGACCACAATATATTTGAATTTGACACAATTTGAAACAGTCTGCTGACGAATAACTCTTTTTCAACTATACTCGTGAGTTGAACGTCATGATGAACTAGCAGGCCTTATTCTATCATGCTTGTCTTTATTCCCAGGGTTCGACAACAGCAGTCGACTCCGCTATTAAATCAGCTTCAGTCATATTGATGATATTGAATAACAACGAATTTCAACAGTTTAGATGCAACATTTTATTCGTAATTGCGTATTCCCTCTTGCGCAGTTGCAAATGAATGGACAAGTTCATTGTGTATGTTCCAGGTCACAAGACCACATGTTTCGTGCACGAGACTACAATCTCGAGGGTACACCGTACAACCTATTGGAACAGGCACTAAGTAAACCAAGGTTCATTGTCCTTGTGGGGCGGCAGAAGGGAACACGCCATAAGGGAACAGCCTTTGGATAACCTCCCTTGCTTTCAAAAATTGTCTTTTCTTTTGAAATGACCATCCAAACGGCCTACCGCGAAAGTTCTGTTAGCGCCCTGCAACTTATCACGGTTATGAATGGTAATCATTAAAACTTAATATGTAAATGTTATTTTTAGAAATCCTCTTTCTCCTTCCCTTTAGTTTAGGAGAAAGGCTTGCTTATTTTTGACTACTTTTTGGTCTAGATTTGATGTCTGAAATTGCAATTTATATCAGATTTTGCTTTCAAAATTTTTCTTTTCTTTTGAAATGACTATCCAAACGGCCTACAGCGAAATTGCATTTTCTTTCAGATTTTGTGGGATGATGAGAGATTTATATGCAGAATGATAATTCTAAAAATAGTCGTTTTGTGTGCAGTGACAGTCACGTGGTGTTGATAAAATGTAGATTTTCATGGTCATGATTTATTAAATTCCAGAAACTAGGTATTGGTCAGGCTTTCATGTGACATACTGGAAAGTTTTCGACGAGGTTTCTGGAAAAAGTTATAGAAGGTTGAAATTTGCGATTTAACATGGAAATAGAAGAAAAATGCATTACCTGTCTTGGTCCGTATCGTCATTCTCACTAGTTATTTCCCTTTACTTGTCAGATGTGACAGGATTATTTTAATTTACACAAGCGGCAGCACAACTAAAGTAATCTGTCGGATTCTAGCTTCTATTATAATAATTAAAGCATCTTATCAATGTCGTTAGTAACATTCAAATCGGGTAAGGTACATACATTTCTGATGATGGGCTCAGTTAGCCATCTACCTGTGTGTGTGTAGGTTTAAAACACATTTTGAACATTCTACAGAAGAATATAAAACTTATATTCAAAAAGTTAAAAATTAGGTAAGGCATATATTTACCCGTGCTAAAATGTTGTGCAATAAAATCCCCAAATCTTGTCTTTTGAAGTTGGATGTTTGGAAATGCACCCAGTGCGAATATGGTATTGGTGAGACATACAAATACACTCCTTCTACAGGAAACGTCACAATAAAATCCTGTGGGTAGAATATACGCCTAAAATCCCATTTAAAAAGTTAACTCACATTTCCAGTAGTGGTCCTGATGAAGTGGGCTTTAGTCAAATTGTATTAAAATTGAGGGTCTTCATATTGAAGTATATCTTCCTTGTTGGTCCTGTTGTGAGTTTGCTTTCTTTGATTATGTTAAGAAATGTTAAACAAACAAAAAACAATAAAATAAATATATTTTCTTTATTCGAGTCATACAGCAATGATATGAAATATTTACTTGAAAATATACAGTAATTTGATTAACATCAAAATAAAATGAAAGATGAGTTCGAATGAGTGAACAATTTAGCTCGTGTTCTGTGTGTTCGCTTGTCTGCTCATAGGCTTTAAGTCCATTTTGGATATTGATTCATATTTCCAATTCAGCTGCTCCGATGCGGATGCTATAATATCTGAAAAACATCTCAGAAGCATGAGATGAGCTTTTGTCAATCAAGTAAACAAATGTATATGTATGACAAATGATCTGAGATTCCCCTCTGAAACAATTTACATAGCACCTTTAGATCAAGTATTGTCATTTTCCTTTTTCCAAATCATCATTCTACCCATCATAGCTTTAACTTCATATCTGAAGCGATAATTTAATACACCGTATATGATTGGATTAGCTGCTGAATTTACAAAATAAGATCTTATAAATAGGTTAAAAGCAGCTAAATTTGATCCTTTCAGTTGATGATCAAAGTCTTTATTAAATATTGCAGCAAACACTAGTCCTAAATAAGGCAAATAACTTAATACAAACACTGTAGTAATCAAACATGCTATCACAGTAGTCTTATTTTCCCGACCTAACAGCGCGCCAAGTTTCTTTTTCTTTGGTGTACTACATGAGATAGTGCTTCCTATTTCTGATTCGGGATCCTCACTTCGACTACGAGGAAGTTCAAGAGGTGGAGGAATCACTTTAGTTTTATTGTTCTCAGTGTTTTCTACCAAAGCACTAAATGGAACATACACTGTATCTACACTGCTTTTAGAGCCCGGAGATGATTCTGTTTTAAATGAAACAATTCTTTCATTTCCATTCACAGATTCACTAATAGTGATGGGTGCATCGAGATTCTGTAATGAGGATGAATTAGACTTTGTTATACCATTTGGTAGTGATAACGTTGAACTGTTTGTCTGCACCGTGTGTTGGTCTGCGTTTATAGTTGGTGAACTGGTGGAATGCAAGGCTGGAAATTGAAATTCGATAGTGGATACAACTGGCGAGGACGGAGTTGAAATAGCAATTTTGTTCATATACTTTTTGTGTTTCTTGACATCACGATAAATTTTGATATATATAACTACGAAAGCAACAGTTAAGCATATAAAACCAACAAAAAGCACACAATTATATATAAGAGGATACAAGGTGTCTTTTATGCTATCACTTGTGGAGCAATCAATCCCGACAACTCCTGGAATATCGGTTTCTGCTGATCTAGAACCGTAAATAAACAGAGCAGGCCAAGACAGCAATATTCCAACAGTCAATGCTCCTACAACACACAGCTTAGATTCACGAAGTGCCATTTGTCTTCCGAGTGGGCGACACACTTTAATGTAACGATCAACAGCAATAGTAGTTAAAATCAAAATTGAACACATTGCACATAAAACATTCACAAATCGAAACAATTTACAAGCGAATACCGAATCAAACATGTAATAATATCGCATATCTACTATTTCTGTGGGCATAGCTATCACACATGCCAATAGATCTGAAACAGCCAGACATACTATCATGAAGTTTTGGGTTCCAGATTTGAATTTGGTTGAAAAAATGTAACAAACTAATATATTACCGAACAATCCTACTATCATGAGCGTACCAACAAATATCATTGCCGGTATTAAAGTCTCTGCGACTTTATCGTTAACTTGAACCAGCAATTCATGTTTCGTTAAATTATAAGAAGACATGTTTGATTACAAACCATTCTATTCCAATATTTTTTTTTCACTTCTAACTTTTGCAGCTTTTCCTTATCTTTTCGAATTTTTTCGTTACTTCCTTTATCACAAATACTTTGTCACGTAATCGCGAAATTCAATCAGAATGGAATCGTCACAGCGTGAAACTGGATTCAATGGCACACCATGTATCATTCATACATTATGAACATATACAATATAGCTCCAGTCTATAAATCACGCCAAATTTAATTCACAAGTCATACTAAAAAAATAAATTGAATTGTTAAAAAAAATGTTTTACGTAGATGATCAAATACAAATCATCAAGAAACAATCGTTTAATATACTTTGTAAATATAGTACACCGCATAGAAGGCATGTTCTATTTCTCAAAACTGATACACATATTGATCATCCAGCTTTTCTGAAATCGATAACCAATAAAAGTCGTAACAGTCATTCATTAAAAGTTAAGTCCAGGTTAGCACGATATAATCCAAGGAAAGTCTTCTAATGATCGTAATATTATCCGCGTCTTTACAACAAGGATATATTTTTGACATGTGTCGCTTTTTAAATATATCACACTTATTGTCCTCGTGCTGTATACTAAAACAAGTATTACCACCTTAACACCACAACCTTCTTAGCATGTATTTATACGATTTTAGCAGTCACTTAGCTCCGTTTGTTACAATCAGTTCATCCGGTCGCCAGCATGTGTTATATAATAAATTACTTTCGCTGTCCTTCTTATTCTGGTTGCAAAATCGATAAATTACTGTCGTGAGACCTATGAGGAAAAAAATTTTTATTGGTTTATACATTATGTGAAAATAACAGAAGACACGTACTAGCATTTGATACTTGGAACAGAGAAGAGACGAAATGTTCTCCTTGTCTTACCCTAATAAACGATTGTTGTTATTTATAACTTATATTAACAGAGGTAAACTATCCAGCCCATCACAACCACCATATAGCTCCTCATTCAATTCCTAAATAATGTATTTATTCCTGTAAGTTTGGAAGATTTCAATATACGATTATCAAGGAAGTTGGTTATTCCATTTTATCAACAAATGAGATTCATTGTACAAGACACTTACAGAAAGACGACAAACACTTAAAACGTTTAAAAGGATGTAATTTTGTGTATATTTAATGTCAACGTGAACTGACTAGAGCTAGTTTTTCTTGAAATCTCATACATTGATATCTTTCATATATAATTAAAATAACATTTTAAAATACCTTTCGTAGTTGCACAGTGGAAGACAATTCAGTAATTCAACATTAAAGCGAATTGATAATCTTTTCATCTTCCAAATTTCAGGTTGATTGATTTGTAAGTACACTCAGTTGCGTATTTACTTCTAGGTTGGCGATTAATTCTTGATCACATCTATAATTCATATTTCATCAGAGTCCATGCCTAACTCATTAATTATCATTCTTCTTAATCTGGAATAAATACAATAATACGGGTTTAATCTTGATACATAGATAAGTAATAACTTACACGCCTTCCTGAAATGTAAATCTGTTTTTAGGTATTTCAGTACGAAATGTTAACGTAATTTACGCCAACTTCCTTATAAAGTGAACTTTTTATTATAACGTATTATTCATAAAATATGGAAGATAATTAATAGTATCATTATGGACTTTCAGATCGAGATTTTAGGTTGACAAACCCAATCGAGAGTAATATTGGGTGTTCCGAGCATGTCTTGCCTTACGTACACTAAATGGAGTATCTTCAATGAGTTCGCTTTGCTCTGAGCCATTACTATCCTACAATGGAAATCTATTCATATTTCTAAAACTAGCTGTCGAGATGATATCAATTCTCTGTTTCAATTGCAAGTCGAAACATGTTTTATGGAAGATACTCAATTGCAGTTTAATATTTAACACTAATAACTAAGTCTGTTTTCATGAATATGATTTATAATCTAAATTAATTTCTCAAGTATATGGCTCATAACTTACCCAGGTAAAAGATCACCTTGAGTTGATTTGTTTCCTTTTTGAAGTCTGTTACCTGACGTTTGATGATACAAAATGAATTGAATATTTCAAAATATAGTCCAGCTCCCTTTGCCAAAGGGGTTAAATGAATTCATAATAAAAAACTGAATGCGTTATTGATTCAAAACATTAGGTCAAATACAACACTTGAATAGGTTTCAAATTTCACTATTGACAAATAGAGTAATCTATAGATTAGCCTCCTACTGCTGTCAATAGGCAGTTAATACTTCTTATCAAAATCCACTTAATAATCACACAAGGTCATTTAATATATTTCGTTTTGTTTGGTTTGAATAGTTGAAATTCTTCTCCCCACAGGACACGACTTTTTATATCATCATGAAATATCGTGTTTGCTAAATTTAAATTAATAAATTCAACTATTATTTTCTTGTCACACTATATCATTCAAACTTGAAGCAGGATCTAAAATAGTTATATCTTCGCCCGAATGTGTAACTAGATTCGATGCAGAGATGGCAATGCAAAGTTGGTCACATGAACTCCATCGTGGATGGTGAGGGCTAGGCTTGAACAGCTAGGCTAGTGAACCTGTAATCTCTTAGTTTCAAAAGCAAGCCTATTGCACAAGCTAAGGCTAGGTATTTAAAGCTGGGACAAACAGAACGGATCAGTTTCAAAAGCCAGGCTAGGTCAAACTTGAAAAGCTAAGGTAGTGGACACGCATAGGTTTGATTGTCTAGCCTGTTGCACACACAAAGACAACGTTCAAAAGCTAGGCTAGAGGCTATACAAAGACAAGGTATGAGAACCTCAATTAATGTGCTAATTATGAATGTATGATTTATATGATCTACATTAAGGTAGACGGAAGATAAAACGGTTTCCCTTTCGATTCAAATTGAAAAAAAAACTCATTTGAAAGAAAATAACATAATGTGCGAGGAGACATCAGCATTATTGTGCCAGATCCCTATCGTTGATAAGAAATATTCTATGTAAAATACCAACATCCTACTGATGTAATTATAGTTTAAATATTGTGAAATATCTAAGTAATGATACATAATATGTCCTGTAATACTAGTACACTATGTTTGGATTTCTGAAGGATGTTTGTTATGAAAATACGTGATCAATCATAAGCTTTGTCACCTGTACTTCCTTCATATTTCTAGAATGTATAGATATCAATATTGTATTTTACCTCTTTCTTTTCATAAATTTTAATTGTCTCAGAGAACTTGTAAAAGTCATAAAAAGGACAACCCAGACAGAAAAAGCCCAAACTCATAGATTTTATGAAGAGTTTAAAACGATTGTCAGCCACTTGTGGCACCTGCAGGGAGAAACTGATCAATTGGTGGAGACAAAGAATCTCCGTTCATCCAGGTGATCTCTGTTGCAACTGGTAGGATATGAAGCAACTCGACTGTTAGCAACTGATGGCGTGTGGGAGAACCTGAACAATCGCAAGATGTAATCGATCTCAGCGCACGGACAACTATAATGTCGCTCATTGCCATCAGTTGCTCATATTCTACTTTAATTAAAAGCCCAAAGATAATCATAGTATACGTCCTACATGTTCTGTTGATGCATTAAACCAATAGTAAAATGTCAATTTGAAAAAAAAACATTACGAAATACCTTCTATCAAACAATCAAGGTCAAAAAATGATTATTAAATCATTAAACACAAGTGGTACAGCTTCGAAAATGTTCCATTACTTATCGTTTCCCTGAAAATGTCGAATTTTGAACTTAATAAACCAATGTCGTGCATATCTTTGTGGATGCTACTCATATCACACTATTTAAATAGAGGACTCAAGCTGTACAAACATGAGAGCCAGCAAAATCCAGAAACACAAAATTACACAAACGATATGAACATCTCAAGATAATGGTTACTTACATTTCAATCACAGGGCAGTCTTCTCACAACTATGTTGAATTCAGGTAAATAATAGCCTTAAGATGTAGGTACATAGCTCGTCCGTGTTCTTTTCAACGTGAATAGTTTAGAATAACTTTAAAAACACTACCCTTACTTCAGTCCACTAACATAACGACAAACCCTCTACACCATAATATTATTTTTCACAACAACCAACGTGTTTCCACTTGGCTGAGTCGAGCACATTATGTCTGGGGGCAAAATCCTGTTAAATATTCGCAGCCCAATAACCACGCTGAATTGTTCTCTTAGTAACTTGTGGGGACTCACGAACCCTTGGTGTGATTGTCGATTGACTGGTTTTATTGATTTTTAATCTATCTATTGTTAGAAACATTCCTAATTAAGACACCTTTAAAACGTAATCAGGGCATATGGTGAACCTTTTGTCCAATTATCCTAGTTAGTCAATCATCAGTCTTCATTTAATAAATTAACAGGATTATACCTTCAGCTGTTCAGTTGTTTCCGAGCTTGTCGATTAGGTGATAATTGTAACTGTTACCTAGCATTATTTGAACTTTGGATTGCCTTTTATTTATCGTACAGAGAAAAAGGTTCATACTCGTAGAGCCAAAGTTTTCTTTTGTACCTAAGGAATACGTGACAAGAGCAGAAGACAAATCAAAACTTGTAGCAGAAATTGGCGGATGTTTAATTACATGTAGTCTTCGTTTTCTGTCTGAACTATTTCAATGAAGATCTAGATATTTCGTTTTCTTTACAGTGGATTACATTATTCCTCATCAAGGACTAGGGTAACCCACTGAAAAAAAAAACGGACAAACCTGAATTGTCTCTTATAGCATTGCAAACTTAGTCGATTTTAGCAGTGTCCGCCTTTTTCCTCGAGTTCCAACTATACTTATATAAATTCTAAGTAGCCTTAAGCGTAACACAATTATCTTATTATATTGTGTTATTGCCAAGCAAAAATATTAAGTTGCCAAGAACCACATACATCACGTTTACATGAATATAGTCATTGACATTCAATATTGTTATTGCGTATCTTGAAATGTCATGTTGAAATAATGATGTGTGCAATGGACCTGAGTGCTGTCAATGATATCATTTTATATAATAATATTGATCATTATAATAAATTTCAACCGCGCATCTCAATTTCATCTAAATTATCGTTAAAGCGAATGAAATGGTTTCATCTTCAGTTGGAAAGAAGCAAAAGAGCAAACTTGGAAAATACATGTTCAAGTCTAAATTTATTTTTCAATGGTCAAAAAACCTTGAGCAAAAACCTTGAAGCCATCTGCATCGACAAATCGGTTAAAAGAGAGATATTTCATACAAGGTTATCT